TGTGCTCGAACCCTAGATTGTCGGCAACTGGACACATTGCTTTTTGGCATTAATTAAGTGCCGCTAATCAAGTTGTCTACATGTACTTTTCGTGCCTTGATATCAAGAGGATGGTGGTGTCTTGCTATATTAGGTCATCGAGGTGTCTAGATCTGTATCTTTTCACATGGACAATATTGGGGTATTTTATTCAGTGATAATGAGTTGAGTGCTTAGGTTAGGAGATGAAGGTTGTATTTGTTGTTACAATCCCTCTATTTTTTATTAGGTCATTGTGAAGTCTAATAAAAACTTGGGCGGAATAGGCCGATTCGCTTATCCGTTGATTTATGATTAGGTTAGTCAAAAAATCTATTTTCTTTTTTTAAATAACGCTATTTCAAGGTTTATATATATATATAACCTAAAACAATATCATTTCAATATTATTATTTTTTTGCTGGCCTGACCTTTAAGTTAGGTTTTTTTAAAAAACAAAATAACTATAATGAGTATTTAATGCACATTTTAATAATATTACAAAACTTAAAACATTAATTACACTTTGATTTAGAGTCGCTAAAATCTAAATTAGTAAAAAAACATTTTCGAAGCTGATTTTTTGAAATATCATACTTTTTTCAACTGAAGCTTCCATTTATAGATAAAAAGCTTCCGCTAATATTTGTATTGACACGGCACTATTTCAAAGATAAGTGAGCATTTTTTTTATTAAAAATTTGTATACATATATATATATATATATATATATATATATATATAACAATTAAGAAATTCTGCAATACATGAGGGACATAATAAAATTTATAAAATCAGTCTTCGTAGGATACGAGAATCAGATAATACATAATAGCCGAAAACAAAGTTTCTACAAAATTAGAATACTCAAATTAATATTATATTTAAGTTAACAACTTGCAATGTACTCAGAGCTTTTTCATTCAATCTTTAGAAATCCCTTGTATTATTCGACGAGCATTTCTGATTTAATAGGATTTTTGAGTACTTTTTCTTTTTTAATAATCAGAGTGTCATCCATTCAAAATCTAAATGGATTGAGTAGAATTTCGTAAACAATCATGACTAATCCGGCCATAACTATATATAAAAACACAAACTTCTTCAAAACTTTTGATAAAAATAGTTAATCATTTTTCTTAATTACATGCCTTTTCAATTACCATATGTTTGAAATCCTAAATAATATAAAATAAAATTCTCAAATCATTAGGGGCACTTTATTCTTAATATCAAAACTGTATGAGTGTTTCAAAAAAAAAATATTAAAACCCAAAAATTATTCATCTACGTTAAAATCATTAAATCAGTCCAGAAAATTATAAAGTTATAAAAGTTCATTAAAAAAATATTAAATCATTTTAACTATTTATATGTGTGTGGTTAATTATTTTATATAGTTTGAAAATAGGAAAAACAGCTATTTTATTTTAATTATTTAACTATAAAAAATCACATGATTAATCTCGAATATATCAAACATTTAAATCTGTTCTTTCCATCAAGTATCAGTGAAGAATATTTAACATATAATTGAATAACATAGATGCAATAATAAAAGAAATAGCAATGAAAAAAATATAAGCATCTCAAAAGCTATACCAAGATATCGGAGTGTTCTTGCACGCCTTTTCAAAGAGAGGTGGGCAGCAGGCTAGACTAGGCGGGTTTACAAAGCATAAAAAAACTAGAAAAAATAAATAAAAAATAAAAAAATGGGGTCCTCCTCCAACAAATGGGCGGCCGCTGATAATTTGGAGTCGGACCAATGACTCCTCCCTCCACCTTTAATAATGGGTAGATTTCCAGGTCTTCACAGGCACAAAGTTTTAGTAGTACTGTAGATTATTTTAACTTTGACTTTGGTAATAGTTTCTGCTTTGACCACCTAACTTCTCCATGGCTAGCCAACCATCTTTAAATTTTGCCTTTCATTCAACGCATGCTGCCCAGAAATCTAAAAATGTTCCTTGTTTGACCCTTTTCTGCATTACTCATGTTATTTAATAATTGTATTGTGTTTGTTATGTTATGCTATGATGAGTTGAAAAATTAAACATAATTAGTTGTTTGATTGTGAACTTCTAAGTTATATTGCTAATAAAATTATTTAAATTAAAGAGTTTATTTAATAAATTAAATATTTTACTAAAACACTAAATGAATTATTTATTTGAAAAAAATACATAAATGCCATGGAGAGACATAAGTGAGAAAAATAACAAAAACATTGCATGTTGTTTTTGGCAGGTAGAACGTCTGACTAAATACTTTAATTAACATCCACACACAATTGAGATCTAAAAAATAAAATAAGTCATATTGGTTAATTGTAAAATCTTAATTATTGTTAGAAATATGATTGCAACTAAATTAATTATTATGTATAAAACAAATGGGACTGTTGTTAATTTATTTAATTTTAACATATTTAATGTTATTTTTGGCTTTTAAATAAAATGAAAAATGTAGTTTTCCATTAAAAAAATCAATTCCCATATATTTTGAAGTGGAAATTAATATATATTAATTTTTTTTAAAAAAATCATATTTCAACTTTAAAAGTTAGGAAGTGAATTTTTTTAAATTCTAATAAAAAAAATTTGATAATGTTTTCTAAAAAATAACAAATAAAAGGCCAATCAAGCAATTAAAAACTTTTTAAGCCTGTAATATTTTTAAATGAAACAAATAGAAAAAAAATGCCAGATCTGACCAAGAATTGTCATGTACTTTATACCCCGTAAAAATGAAAAGACATTAAAAAAAAAAAAAAACCAAGAATGGTCGAGTGCGTCATCACATAAGTTTAATATATTATATAAGATGGTGCATCAAGAATACAAATAAAAAGACCCAAAATAGCCCAAGGATACATGTGGCCCAGCCAAGGCTATTTGTTAATGCCTGAACCGAGGCTGCTTGTGGATGGCCTAACCGAGGCTAGTGGCCTAATCGAAAGAGAGAAGGTGAGGGAAAAAATTGAGGCAGTCTAACATATCCAATCGAACCCATGAGTCCAGCCGAGACCGACAGAGGAAGGAAAAGGGCTGACCCAATCGACCCCTCTATAGCCTTGGTCAAGCCCAACTGAACCCTCTTTAGCCTAAAACCAACAGAAGGTGGAGAAAAGAAGGAGAATGGTAGAAAACATCAGCCCAACCCTGGCTTAATAAGTGACCTTTAATGGCTACTTTCTCTCGCCAATAAATTGTCTCAAACCAATTTTTTCACCGATGATTATTCTTGATCCTAACTCCCGAGCTAATACTCCTAGCATGTAACAATTCTTGTCAATTCTAATATTGAATTATAAAATTTTAAAAAATTAAATTATAAAAAATGAAAAAAATTAATAAATTCAATATTTCAACATTTTATGAGGATATGAACAGTGAACACACACACATGTTAAATCAAACATGTACAAATTCATAAAACAAAGGACATGATCAATAAGAGCCAGCAGGGAAGAAACGGTGAGGAGTTGTGGTGGTAGCACTGAATGAGAAAAAAAAAATGGTCTGAGCCCACATGCTCTTTACAGATGGCCTTGAGAAGCTTCTATAGGCCAATTGAAACCTCTAGACCATTTCCTTTGTTTTCCCCTGAATATGTGGCATTGGGTTTCATAAATACACCGGACCCGACGATCAAAACTTTGTCTGGTGGACTAAATTGCATCATTTAAACATTTAAAGGGCCCGATGCATAATTTTGACTGTGACACCTAACAGGCCTCCACGGTCCAAACTTGAGGGAATGGGGCTTTCAGCTAGTTTTGGGTTTCATTCTCGATAATGGAAGCTCCATCCCTTTTCTAATAATTCAAGTTTAAAGTCTTCCTTCTAAAAGCTCCATTGTGCAATTCAAGATTGAGTGTAAAAGAGGCTCGGGAAGTCATTTTCGATAACATTGACATACAGTGATATTTTTTTATTAACAACATGATTGTACAGTTTAACTTGTATATATTTTGATTAATTTTATGATCTTTAAAATTAATAATTATATAATTTTTAGTGTTTCTAAAAAAATTCAAATTCTTAATTATTAAAAAATAAATTTAAAACCTAATTAATTGATACTAATTAAAAGTGGTCCTCTTCCAAGCAGTAGCGACCATGTTAAAGAAATCAACCCATGCATGCAATTTATATCAATTTCTTAGAAAAGAGATTGATTTTGAAAAAAAAATAACACTTAATATAGGGGCATCGTTAACTTTTTTTTTTATAATTAATATGAATATCTGAACCAGTTTAGGTGTACTAAGATTAATTCCACAAATATTAAAGTTAACGACTATATAAGCCTTTAATAATCATTATATAAGTAACTAGGAACTCGAATCTAAGATAACAAAAAACAAACTTTTTAATTTTAAATTATCATTACTATACCACTATCTAAATAGTTAAAATTTCTAACTAATAAAATTTTAAAAAATAATTATTTTTTTATTTTCTGGGCACCGTCCAAGCCCACGACATTCCATCCAAATGTGATGTGAACTTAAATGGGTAGAGCCCATGTGTATGAGCCTAACTAAGATCCTCTGGTCAGTCGCCGAGAACCACAAAGGTGGTCATATGCATCATAAAGGGGCTTGAGGCAGAGACTAGAAGCCAAAGCTCGACTCGGTGACAACCTAAAATGAACTAGTATCACACAACCATGTCCTCCCGAGGATGAGATAAGGTCCTGGAGCTTCTTCCACGTGGCAAATCTATTGTGGTGCCTAACGATAAGGCTAGCATTCCAAGAATTTCCACCCTCATGTGGATAGAATGGTGTCATGTCATCACATATCGTATCCAACGGTCACATTTTGTTCAGTATCAACCACGATAGCTTGTGGCCATACGATATGAGATAGACAAGTTGAAGCATTATAAATACGGTGTAGCAGGAGTACTTTAATCTTGCAAAACTAGCAAAACCACATATAGAGGGTGTAATAGCTAATTAGCTTGTAAGAGATGGCTTCCTCTGTGATTTCATCGGCGGCCGTTGCCACAGTTAACCGCACCCCGGCACAGGCCAACATGGTTGCGCCATTCAACGGCCTCAAGTCTACCTCAGCTTTCCCGGTCACCAGAAAGGCTAACAATGACATTACTTCCATTGCAAGCAATGGCGGAAGAGTTCAATGCATGCAGGTAAAACCTTTTAAACAACTTTGGTACAACGTTGTTAGTTTTATTCTACTTACTTGGAATTAATTAGCTTTCTGCGCTCCCTTCTTTTTTTTTTTTTTTTCTTTTCTTTTTTTAAACAAAAAAAATGCGTATAGGTGTGGCCCCCAACAGGATTGAAGAAGTTCGAGACTCTTTCTTACCTCCCTGATCTCACTACCGAGCAATTGGCCAAGGAAATTGACTACCTTCTTCGCATGAAGTGGGTTCCTTGCTTGGAATTCGAGTTGGAGGTGATAAGTCCAATCTCATAATCATACAATTTTCACTAATAATAATTATTATTATTACAAGGTGATGATTAACCATATAGAGCATGTTTGGTGTTTTCTGTATTTTGATGTGCGAAAATTAAAAATACAAAAAAAAGAAGAAGATTTTCAACATATTTCTGATCGAAAAACAACTATTACAATTTTATATGACCAGCATACTAAATTAATTGTACCTGTACTTTTACATTGAACACATTATAATTACAGGTAACTTAATTAAGCATTTAAGCGGATTCTTAGTTCCTCAATATAGTCACATATAAGGTTTGTGATTAATTGTTTATAGACACCAACTTGTAAATGTTTGATTATGCAGAAAGGTTGGGTCTACCGCGAGCACCACAGGTCCCCAGGGTACTATGATGGACGCTACTGGACTATGTGGAAGCTACCCATGTTTGGATGCACTCAGGCATCTCAGGTGCTGATTGAGCTCGAGGAGGCGAAGAAAGCTTACCCTAACTCCTTTATCCGTATCATTGGATTCGACAACGTTCGTCAAGTGCAGTGCAT